TCTTAATGTCAATCTCTTTCGGAAAGGGAAGCTTAGTAAGGATGACTCAGTGAAATTACCAAGAACTTCATGAAAGCAAAACCAGTAACTACCCAGAATTGAGATAATATCCCTCAAAGTACGAACGTGATATGCCAATTGTACTTCTGAGATATTTAGAAAAAAAACTTCACACCCACGGTATAGGGGAAGTAAATTCATGGAAAGAACATCCTCCTACAATCTCATAATAGTCGCAAGAAAGTACGATCACCTGCTGTCCCATCCATCCAGCCGGTACATTTGGCTTATTGCCTTTTGAAAGACCTGAATCCACCCTTGGAATTGCAGGAGTCGATCCAGCAGCACGATATTTCTCTTCCTGTCCGGAAAGCAGCTCGTCGATCTCATGAGCTTTTACAAGCCTGGAGAACATACATGAAGATGTAGCACTCAACAGAGAAAATAACTTTTTGCTCAATAACACCTTTGGAAACATTTTTAGTGAAAAAATCAAGAAAGGAGAACACATACATTATATTCGTGTGCATGAACGCTTGCGAAAGTGCAATTTGCCGCAACTTCTCCTTGTCTTCGACAGTAGCCACCTTTCTCCACAACACCGGATACTTCTTGTAAAGCGTACCTCTATGAAGTCTCAGATATGCACCTATCTCGGATCCTGAAGATGGGCATGACATAAATGGCGGTAGAAACGATTGAAAATAGTTTAGCTTTTTCTAAATGTACCCATAAATAATTTCAGCTCACCTATGTAATACCGTTCTCCTGAATCGTCCATTGTGAACGACTGCGGACGTGGTCCGTATGTTGCATTGCTGATCGTCATGGTTCAGACACCTCAAATTTCTGAAAAATAAGTATAACATTGACATTATGCTACTTGAACTATCATAAAGGAAGCAAAAACGTCATCAAGCTTCAAAGCATTGATAGTGGCTCGAGATTCTGCGCATAATGAGTTGCAGCGAGCCGAAAAGCAAGGAAAAATAATGCTAATTGGTTACAGAGAAGGGTAAACAAATCCTTGTTCCAAATCGATCGATTCCGTGGCCCAGGTGAGTGAGATCCACTCGTTATGAAACGAAAGGCAAAAGAATGGGGAGAATAAGTCACATTTGCCAGCAGCGGAGATACATTGTTCACATCCGTGACCTACAGCCTCTCACA